GTACATAGTGTACACAATGGAGTATTACTCAGCCACCAGGAATAAGGACATATAGTTTGAAGATAAATGGATGCAATTGGAGGACATCATGTTAAGTGAAGTTAGCCAGGATCAGAAAAACAAAAACCACCTGTGTTCTTTCATACATGGAAGATAGATGCAAAGATAAACATATACACAAAAACTAGAATGACCATATACAAACTCAGAGTAGAACATGTTTGTAACAATGGAGCTCCTCTATGGAAAAAAGAGGGAAAGGAAAAGAGAACAAAGAGCATTAGTATTATTATATAATGTAAAATATGAAGATAGAGGATATAAGGATGTGTATTGAAAGCTGTTGAAAAAATAGGGTGGGCAAAAGAGGTAACGTAGACTATTTAAAGGTATTTAACAGTGCAAAGTCAAGAATACCCATAGCAGGCATGCATTGAAACACCCCATTGATCATCAACTTAAACATTAATAATGAAAACCAGGACTGTAAAATAGGCACAGTGTGTGTGTGGGGGAGGTAGTAGTGGGAGAGGGGAGGATGAAGAAAGGAGATTAAAGTGATAGTATATAGTTGATGGACTTCATATACCTATTTGAAATGGAGCTAAAAACCCTCTTGCAATTGCTTTGGGTGGAATGGGGAAGGGGCTGAGAGGGATAGACAATGAGGGAGATATAAATAATGTACAATATAAGTCTAATTGGAAATGTCACTTTGAATCTGCCCTATGTAATGAATATATCCTAATAAAAATTTTATAATAAAAAAAGAAAATAATAGTAATAGAAGTGGTATTGAGTGAAGCCTAGGTCAGAATGAGTTGGTTTAATGTATGTCATGTTTGAAATACCAGCTACATATCCAGGCAGAGTTATTGAGTTGATAGTTTATACACACACACACACACACATATATATATATATGTATGTATGTATATATACAGGGAGTTCAGAGATAAGATCAGGACTAAAGCTATAAATGCTTGAGATAGTGCACAGAGGAATTTTATGGACAAAAAAATAAGTATTGGCTAACATGGAGAAGGAAGTGCTATGAGGAAAGGGCTTTTGCATTTAAAGATCAAAATTATCTTTACTTAAAAGACAAAATTACTGAATTAAGCACAAGAAGGTATGGAAAAAATTTTTTTGTTGATTGGAGCTAGGGCTTTGAAGTCAGGGCTTCATTTTGATAGTGTGGCACTTCACCATCCCCTTTTCTTCTAGTTACTTTTGAAATAGGGTCTTGAGTTGTGCCAGTGATGACCTGGACTGTGATTTTCATATATATGCTCCCACTGTAGCTGGAAAAACAGGCATGTACCGCCATGCTCAGATTTTTTTCTGTTGAGATGGGGATCTCATGAATTAAGCCTGAACTACATTTCTTCCAATTTTAACCTCTCATACAGCTAGGATGACAGGCACATGCAGCTGGCCCAGAAATTGAGATGGACTCTTAATAACTGTGTATCTATTCTTAAAAAGTAAAGTTTAAATTAAAAACTTTTCTACTGTTTAGAGAAGTTCCTGAATTATATATATACTTGAAAACTAGGATTGAACTCTGGGAAAGTGCTCATGATATCCCTAGTTCTTTTGCTTTTAATTTGTTTTGCAGAAAGGGCATCACTTTAACTTTTACCTTAATTTCCCATGAACTATGGCCTTCCTGTCTCCAAAACTTCAGTCAATGGACCCCCAGGTGTGCATCACCATGCCCAGTTCTGAATGGTGCTTTCTCTGAAATAACTAAGTAGGAAAAATGCTGTCTTTCAGATAATAGAGGAAGAACCCCACAAAAAACCCCTCATATTACAAAGTTAGAAATGTCTTGATACCAAAGCCTGGGAAACATACAAATTAAAGGCATGGACCAAATAGAATGCATCCTAGAAAGATAAGGTTAGGTTCACATTCAAAAGTAGATTGATATAATTCACTATGTTCAGAGAATAAGCTAAGAAAATCATAATCATTTCATTAGATGTATAGAAATCCTTTGATAAAATTTAGGATCCATTCAATTAAAAGCTCTCAGAAAACTATGAATAAATAGAAACCCTAAAACTGATTACAGACATTGTAACAATGCATAGATAACATCATATTAGTGCTTAAACCTGATTAGTTTAATGAAGATTTGAACAAAGCTGAATGTAGAATATACATCCCTTATATTCTACCTTGTCTCAGAGATCCTAGCCAATGAAATAATGCAAGAAAATTAAATAAAACTTGTAAATACAGAAAAAGGAAAACAAAATTCATTTTTCTCTAGAAAACATGATTGCATACATAGCAAATCACAAACAAAATTCCTATAGAAGTAACAATAGAGTTTTAAAAATTCACAATACATAGTCAGTTTTACACAAAATTCAATTGTATTTCTGCATACTGCCAACAAAAATCAAAAATTGTAACTCTAGAAAACCTAGAATTTATGACAGTCAGAAAAAATAGAAAACTTATACATAAATTCAACAAATTATGAATGAAAACTGTACACTGGAAATTACAAAATCCAAATAAAAGTTTGCCATGAGAATGGCAGTGATACCAAACACGAATCCACACATTCAGTACAATTCCAGTAAATGTCCCAGGAAGCTTTAGTAAGGAAATTGATGAATTAAATCTGAAATGTTCATTAAAAAGCAAAGAAAAAAGGAAAACTAAGGCAATGTTGGAGATAAAGAACAACTTTGGAGGGTTTAAGTTGCATTTCAAAAATAGTGTTAAACCAAAGTAACCGAAAGAATACTTCAGTTCCACTTGTTGGTACGGGCCAATAATCTCAGCGTTTAGGAGTTTGAAGCAGGATTATCCTGAGTTTGAGACCAAAAAAGAGAAGGGTATTTTATTGTTATAAACCTGGGAGTACCAATAATAACCAGAGTACATAGTCTAGAAATTGACCAGTACTCACATGATCAATTGATTTTGAACACCATGTTTAAACAATGCAAAAGAGTCTTTTGTAACAAATGATACCAGAAAAAAAATCTAAAATTTAACAATGAATGTCAGTCTGAATATTATACTGAAAATAAAATTTCATTTGAAATATGCTTCAACATAAAACATGAGACTATAAAATATCTACAGGTAATAGAGAAGATAATATTCATAATTTTTGAGTTTTCTAAAATCTACTTAAACAAGAAAGAGCACACTACATAAAACTTGAGTACCAGATTTTAATATAAAATTTTGAATTAATTCTGTTTGAAAGAGATTGCAAAGATAACATGGCAGCCAACTTGCTGGAAGAAAGTAATTACAAATCATGTATGTGATAAAGGGTAAACATCCTGAAAATAAAGTCCAGTCACAACTCTATAATAAAAGGAGAAAGCAATGCATGGATTTAAGTAAGAGTCATTTATCAAAGAATTTTCATGAAGGCCAAACATAATAAAAATATTCCACAACACTGGCCTGGAAGAAAATGTAAATTGCAACCAGGTGTGATGGTATTATACACTGTACAGAATGGCTAAAATAAAAGTAAGATATACACAGGGTTACCTAGAATGTGGAGTTACTTAATTCTGGTGGGAAAAAAAATGGTAGAACCACTATGGAGAATCTTTGGCATTTGGTATAATGTTAAACATCCACTTACCACATGATTTACTCTTATGTACTTACCCAAGAGCTACAAAATTTTATATCCAGAAAAATACACATACATGATTGTCAATTGTAGTCTTTCTCTTACCACTTGAGCCACTCTTCCAGCCCTTGCAGTCTTTCTCTTAATGGCCAATACTTGGGTACATTCAAATGTTCAACAGGTAAGATGGGTTTTCCTAAGTGAGGTGTATTCAATAATACTCAGAAGTACTGCTGAAGAAAACCACTAAGTAACTAAATATTGAGCTATTCAGTAAAATAAATGAACCTTGAAAGCATTATGTAGAATTTGATAAGCCCTTCTACAACACTCTAAATTCTATGATATTCATATATATGAAATTGTAGAAACGAGAGAACCCTCTATTGTTACCAGAAGTGATTGCCTGGTGGTGGGGTAAGGATGGGTAGGAAGAACTGTAAAGGGCATTGTCATTGTTCTCAAATAAGGGTAGACATCATCAAAATGCTAACTAAAATTTACACATAATATTTTCATTTTATTATATAAAATTTTACCTAAATAATATTTACCTAACAAAGCATAAAAGAATATTTGCCTGTAATATATGCATGTATATATACATACAATATAATTCCTGTAAAGCATTTCCGAGGGCATGGCTTCAGGTCAGAGTGTCTGCCTAACAAGCATTAGGAACTGAGTTCAAACTCCAGTGCCATCAAGAAAAAAAAAAGTTTGCTGTCTTTTAATGCACTCCATATTCCCATCCTATCATTACTTAAAAGTCAGATATCCAATTATACCTATTTTTGTTCCAAAAAACTTGTTATAGTTGACTTTAATACACCAAAAGGAGTGCATGAGATAATAAAATAATGAGTTCAAAATACCATGTTCAATGAGTGATTTTGAAATGAAAGGACATAACCTGTCAAATTGTTGGGGGTTCACAATTACCATGTAAATTTGTTATGGCATATATTGTTCACTTTTATGACAATATGAAATTATGTCTTAAAATATTATTCAAATTATCAATAACATATAAAAGCAAATCATAACTATGCAATCTTCTTATGTAACAATGCTATTATAGATATTCATTTGAAAAATTTACAATAATTTTTACATTGGAAACATCTGAAAAAAATAAAATTCCTTCTCTCCTTCCTCCTTCCCATCCTTCCTTCCTTCTTTCCTTCCTCCCTCCCTCCCTCCCTCCTATCCTTCCTCCATTCCTTCTATCCTCACTTTCTTCCTTATAGCGTTCATTCCTTCCTCCCTTTTCACTTTTCTGTGGAGTTGGAGATTTAAATTATAATGTCATGCATGTTTGGGAAGTGCAGTACTGTGGAGCTACACTCCAGATGTAATTATATATGACTTGAAAGCCTTATGCAATTGTGAGTTTGTTGTGTTTTTTCCCACATCTGAGCCACTTCAGCCCCAAAAGAGAAGTCTGCCTTAATTTGGAATTTCCCAGAATCAGGATAAAGGAGTGGCCTGAAGGATACAGTAGTCCAACAGTGATGCCAACAAAGTGGGCCAGTGTGTTCTCATGCACTTTTGAAATCCATGATATCAAATATGATAAAAAGTAAGCAGCATATAGGAGTAGAAAGGAGATCATAATTTTCAAGGCGTTTATGAGGGCTTTGGTCCTGGGGTCTCTGCGTCCTTTGGAAGTGAGCTGCATCTTCTGGAGATGTTTCCACAGGGAGACTATTAGCAGGAGACAGGACGTCAGGGCCACAGTAAATGGAATTAAGGAGAACAGAGTAATCTTGAGTCTGACCTGCATGGATAATTTTTTAATTTCACTCACTTTGGAGTCCCAAGTTGTGTTTTTTTCCAATTGATGGATCAAGTCTTCAATATGTATATCTACTTCTGTCAGATTTAAAATCAGGAAGACCAAGTTTCCCAGCAGCATGATCAGAGTCACTTTCTTTACTCTCCACTTGAGATAGAGAAAAGCAGGCCATGAGAAAGTAGCTATTTTGAGCAAATATAAGATGCTAAGGATGGTAGCAAACCAGAGACTGAAGTGATTGCTAACTATCCAGGAGAAAATACCAATTCTTACTTTTGTTTCATCCACAAGTGAAAATGAGTAATATGTATTTTGAAACAAACTTACAAATGTTTGCCATAGGACACTAATTCTAGAAATGGCCAAGATGGTGATAATTTGATCAACTGAAGAGAAATTTCTTTTGTTGCCCAAGTCAATGCAATTCATCACTACTATGAATCCATTGCTCAAATTCCCAAATATGAACTCTGCAACCATTATGATGAAGAAGATGCTCTTCAGGGCTCTCCACATGTTCAGTCAGAGAAAACTCAAAGTCTACTACTGCTGCCAGTGATTTTGTACAGCTAGGCTGTTCTTTCCTTCTTGTGCTCCTTTAGTTGTCCTGAAGTCAAGTCAAGAATTTCCAAGGTAGATGAAACTTCACATTGATGTTCTCATAACATTTTTATCCATTTTATCTTTTAAATACATCTTAACAGAGATGATTATGTCCTTACCAAAGGCTGTAACATTTCATAAATGATGAGGAAACAAAGCCAAACTCACATTTGTGAACATGTAAATAAACATATATCTATTTCACTCTTTTGTCCACTTTGCATTGCATCAGCTAAGACAATTTGAATCCACCAGCTTGAGTCCTGAGGTAAAAAGATTATCAAAATTGGATTGATCAAATATGTAGTTAAGTAGAGCTTTTAATGTCTCACATGACTGCTAGTGAGGACTTATAAAAGGTGCAGAGTTAGCCCTGAGTTATTTCTCAAGAAGCCTCAATTTCCAGTGGAGCTAGAATGCAGGGAACACTGAGAATGAAGATTAGATGATCACAGAGACTTAGGCTTCCTCAGCCCCTGGCTTTCTGCATTTGGTTGCGCTTACAACCTTGTGCCATGAACACCACTTATCTTCAGATTTTATCCAATTTTGCCCACATTGCTTTTCCAAACATAAAGTGAACTAAAGTTAAATATAAAATGTGTCAACAAACAAAGAAAACAGATCTACATTATGATATAAATTTTTAACTGGAGATTCAAGCAAAGAAGAGGTATTCACTATTCACTGTGAAGAATTAATTTTCTTCACACTGTCTCTCTCCTCAAAGTTACAGACAGAAGTAATGAATTGGCCCAGTTCTGACATGTGGAGTATGAAGAAAAGTTACCTAATTTGACATTCATACAAATAAAACTCTGTTGTTTCTTGTTTACATTACAACATATAGATATTTCTTTTCTGGATGCAGAAAAAAGCTATTTTCATTTAATGAATATGTAATTTTTCTTTTCTGGATGCAGAAAAAAGCTATTTTCATTTAATGAATATGTAATTTATATATTTGAAATGTGTGCATTTTATTATTCACAGAAATTTTCCTGAGTGATTTACAGAACACTTAACTATACACAAAGTAATTAAAGAGTCTCATCTTTGATAATTTATGAATTTCATTTAAAATATAAAGTACTTGTTATGAATGTATACATGTCAAGTTAGAACAGAATATGTTGTCTTTAGAAGTTTGTTTGCTCTATATACTTATGAGTTCTAAGTCTTTAGATGTATGGTATGCATTTTTCCATTGCCTTTCATCCTTACTACAAGTGTCCTTGACTAAGTATAAACTTCTTTTTAGTCAAGGGAAACCATTTAGTGTTCCTTCCCACCATGATAGAGACATGGTGCACCTGCAGATTCTAACCTTGTCGGAATGCTGCTAAGCCACACTGACCTTATCAAACTTTGGCTTTTGGTTCCCAACAACCGCCTGCATAAATAAGGAAAGCACAGTGGTTAGCTAAGAGAAATTACCACAGTCCTTCAGAATTTGTGATGTAACACATGATAAAAATTAGAGAATGAATAGTGGAAATGCAATTTTGAACTGCATTTTCCTGGTATGTTTCCATAAGAAAAAAAATACTAAAACTAAAATTATAAAATAGAAATAAGGTTTTCCCAACAACAATGTGAGAAAAAAACAGAATGTGGACAAAAAAATTCTAAGAGACTCTTTTTTAGCATTCTGAAAGAAAAGGAAGGAAAAGGGCAGGAAGAGAGTCTGGAGTTTGACTTTTTGAAGTAGTTTCCTTGGATTTTGGATAATCTTATGATGAAAAGACTTTTAAAGTTTGCTTCACTTATTATCATTCATTTCATGAATCCTCAAACTTTGAGCAAACTCTGCTATGTCCCTTACTACTTTACATGTTACTACTGTATGGAGAATAATTTTCTTGCACTAATACACTGGGCAGTAAAATAGCAAATAAAACATTTACCTTTGTTCCTAAAGAGAATGTGATTAATGTTTTCCCTTCATTAAAAATAATGTTTCTTTATTTTTCTTATTTATTTACTTTATTAGTACATATTAGTTATATATCAGGGACTTGTGATATTTCAATACACTCATAAAATGTACTTTGATCATTTTCATAAATTTACTCTTTCTTATCCTTTCTCTCCCAACCTTTTAAAAAAGGTTTCAATGGGTTTCATTAAGGAATGATGTACCTTAAAAGTGATATTGAGAATTCCAAGATGGCAGTTAGAGGGAGGAAGAAGATCATTCATTTCATGAATCTCAAACTTTGAGCAAACTCTGCTATGTCCCTTACTACTTTTACATGTTACTTACTGTATAGGAGAGAATAAATTTTCTTGCAACTAATACACTTGGGCCAGTAAAATAGCAAATAAAACATTTACCTTTGTTCCTAAAGAGAATGTGATTTGTGATTGATGTTTTCCCTTCATTAAAAATAATGTTTCTTTATTTTTCTTATTTATTTACTTTATTAGTACATATTAGTTATATATCAGGGACTTGTGATATTTCAATACACTCATAAAATGTACTTTGATCATTTTCATAAATTTACTCTTTCTTATCCTTTCTCTCCCAACCTTTTAAAAAAGGTTTCAATGGGTTTCATTAAGGAATGATGTACCTTAAAAGTGATATTGAGAATTCCAAGATGGCAGTTAGAGGGAGGAAGAAGAAAGCATGCCTCCTATAGTGAAATCTTGGAGAGATGCTGGAGACACACCTTGCAGGCAAAATCACTGAGAAGAGGCAAAACTTTGACTCCTCCATACCTCCAGCTGGCTCAGAGAATCTCCACTTCATGTTAAATGGAGAAACCAGGAGAGCCCTTGGGCTGCCAGTTGCCCGCACCCAGATGGCTTTGGAAGACACAGACAAGGTTACTGTCAATTAGTACACTAAGGCTTCCTGTTTATATCTTTGAAACTTTTTTGTTTGATTCTTTGTTTTGTTTTTTCCTACTTGACTGTTTATTGTTTTCCCTTTTCTTTAACTTCTTTTGCTTTCATCTCCTCTCACCCTTCCATTCTAAATATCACCATTGTTATTATTACAAGCTAGAAAATACTAATTGCACACAGTACAGGGACAGTAAAACACCAAGAGAAATGACATGGGAAGACAGAAAAAACAGGGAAACCAGTTTCCCCACAGCAAAAAATTAGTACAGGAACCAGAGGGAATGAAGAAAACAGATACTCAGATCCAGACTCCAACAAAAATGAAGATAAACTATGCAAAAACCCAATGAAGCCCACAAGAATAATTTAAAAGAAGACATACTAAGGTAACTCAATGAGAATTTTATTAGAGATGATTCATATGGTCAACCAAAATGTCAGGAGACACTCAAGAAATTCCAAGACAACAAAAATAGAGAATTTAAAAGCAAAAGAAGAAATAAAGGAAACCATAGAAGCACTGTATAAACACCAAGTGAAACAGAGAACATGATAAATAAACAGATAAAATGAACTCAGGACAAAATAGACAACATTAAAGAGGAAACCACCCAGGATATGGAAAACCTCAGAAAAAGAATGAAACAGAATCTGCAAAACAAACAGAAGGCCAATCCAGCAGAATAGAACAAACAGAAGACAGAATCTCAGAACTGAAGATGAAATGGTAATTAAAGGAAAAACTGAAAAACTATTAATTAAACAACTCAAGACCTGTGAAAAGAAAATGCAAGAACTCACCGACTCCATCAAAAGACCAAACTTGAGAATCATGGCATCAAAGAAAGGAGAAGAGGTGCAACAAAGGGAATGCATAATATATTCAACAAAATAATAACAGAAAATTTCCCAAATCTAGAGAAAGTATTTCCCATACAGATGCAAGAGGCCTCCAGGAACCAAACAGACCAGATCAAATAGAACTACCCCACAACATATCATCATTAAAACAACAAGTTCAGAAACTAGGGAAAGAATATTGAAGGCTGTAAGAGAGAAAAAACAAATAACATACAAAGGTAAACCCATCAAAATCACAGCAGACTTCTCAACAGAAACATTAAAAGCAAGAAGAAGCGTGGGGTGGATCTTCCGGGCACTGAATGAAAATAACTTCAACCCAGGATACTCTACCCAGCAAAACTATCATTCAAAATAGATGGAGCAATAAAAGTCTTCCATGATAAGCAGAAACTAAAACAATATGTGACCACAAAGCCACCACTACAAAAGATTCTTCAAGATTCTGCACACAGAAAGTGAAACCCAACTTAACCATGAAAAGACAGGCAGCACCAAACCACAGGAAAAGAAAAAGCAAGAAGTAGAGAGTAACCTCAACTTAGGTACACACAATCAAACCTTCAAACAACTAAGACAACTAAATGACAGGAATCACCACATACCTATCACTACTAACACTTAAGTTAATGGACTTTACTAACACTTTAATGTTAATGCGACTTAACTCGGCCCATCAAAACCCGCTTGACAAAAATTGATTTAAAAAGGAAGATCCAACAATTTGTGGAAGACCCATTTCACCACAGAAATAAAGCATAGGCTAGGATGAAAGCGGAAGAAGATTTACCAACAATTGGGCCCCCCAAAACAGGCAGGAGTAGCAGTACTTATCTCTGACAAAGTAGACTTCAAACCTACACTTGGATCAAATGAGATAAAGAAGGACATTCCATACTAATAAAAGGGAAATGACCAAAAGAAATGAATAATCATCAACCTATATGCACCCAATGTCAACCACCCAATTTTCAATCAAATATACCGCCTGAAAGACCTAAAACCATATATTAACTCCAACACAATGGTTGTGGGACTTTAACACCCCATGATCATCCAAATAATAGGCTAATCCTAACAAAAAATCAATTAAAGCAATCCAAGATCTAAAAATATACAATAATCAAAGTGGGAACCTACTGATGCCTACCAGAAACACTTTCATCCAACTTTCTATACAATTATACATTGTTTTC